AAAAAAAAATGCCACAACAGAATAGTCAGATATACATTTTTCGGAGCAAAAAAACAAAAGAAAAAAATAAAGCTTTAAAAGCTAAGGGGTGATTGTATATCAATTGTATAATAAATATCTCATTCAAAACTCAAATTTAACTCAATTTTAACCTAATTCCATTATCCTGAATATTATCAATATAATTAAATAATATCAATAAATCATTCTTACACATTACATTAACTTTAATTCATTATTCATCTATTCACATAATTTTAACTAATCATCACTTTCGATCATTTTTTCTTATACTTTACATTAAATCAACTTTAATTATTTTATTTAAATATTATTTTAATATATCTAAACAATACTATCTTTTCTCAAAATTAAATATAACTAAAAAATAAACCAAATAATAACTAAATTCATTAACAATCAGCTCCTAAGTGGTCAAAGGTACTGGCTGACAATTGACAAACATATATATTTTTTATGTATATATATATATAAATAAATAAATGTGGAGTAGATTGATTGAACAAGAACAGCAGTGGTAGCACGTGATAAGAGCTGTACAGTTTTCTGCTAATGACCCATGAAATGGGTCAAATAGAAATATGTGCCACTCAGGCGTGCTACGCAAATTTATATTTATATTCATACCATGTGCATCTATTCTTTCCCTAAATTTGTTCTCATGTTAATTGGGTGTTTTCTCCAAGTTTTTACTATAAAATTTTAGAGAAATATTACTATCCCGTTACGGTATTATTCCGTTGAGTGTTTTTTTTTTTTGGGTACAAAAAAGGAGGCCAAGGCCTAAAGTACGTCTAGTTCAGAGTTCGACGGGGATAAGAAACCCTGATTAGATCATGATGTAGCCACTCTCCCAACCCGGTGGGAGGAGAGGATAATCCATGGAGGCCAACCGTCCAAGTAGCTGCCATGGCAGCGAGACAGTCAGTTGCATAATTTGCTTCGCGGTACACATGCACAATCTGAACCCGCCAGGAGCAATTCACGAATCGCCAGGATCAAGGAGTCATGGTCCCCTGCTACCTCGCCCTTCCGAAGGATCATAGTCTGGACACACTGATTGTCCGTCTCAGCAATAACTTGTCGGTATCTCATAGTCCAAGCTTGCTGAAGCCCTTGAAATATGCCCCATAGCTCCGCGCCCGTGATGGTGCATGTTCCAATGTTCATAAGAAAGCCTGCAATCCAGCCTCCTGAGTCATTTCGAAGAAGGCCACCCGCACTACTCATACAGTCAAGGGATCATATGCACCATCAGTGTTTACTTTAATCCAGCCCCGGGGGGGACATTGCCAATGGATCAGACGTGTGCTATACTTCGAAGCCCCCACCTTCGCGTACGCAGCCTCAGCCCGGGCGTAACACTCCGTTATGGCCACAATCTTCTGCCGGCGAGCCGTACACCCAACTTGCTGGCTTCGAAAAATACGTGCATTCCGCCAGCGCCATGCACTCCAAATACCAATCGCGAAAAGTCTGCCCCAATTGTTGAGCTCACCCACACGTACCATTGTTAAGTTCTTGTACAACCACGGTAACATCGGCACCTGGAAAAAATCATCGACTTTTGCGCTCGGTAAGAGACGGGTCCAAACATTCCTCATAGCGGGTCAGAACCGCAGGACATGGTCGATCTTCTCGCTGTCACCACAAAACTTGCACAAGTCCGATGCAGTTAGGTGCCGACGGACTCGCTCCGCGTTGGTGAGTATCCGACCACGAGCCACGAGCCACAAGAAGTGACGGACTCGCTGTGGGGCTGGGGCCTGCCATATGCGTTTCCATAAGCGTGAATCAGCCGGGACCTCCGAACGAGCTAAGGATTGGTATGCCGACTTGGTAGAAAAGTTCCCATCGTCGGTGAAGGTCCATACGAGCCGGTTGTCCCGATTAGGCA